CTTCATCGAAATGAGCAGAATTTTTTGAACCCTTAACGTCAACTTCTGCTGTTACCGAGAACCACTGTCACGACTTACGCGAAGATCGATAGTGTAATGGCTTAACACGATGCAAGAGAGTTTGTTGTGTTTTACAAATAGTGGTAATCCTCGGAAAAAATGCCGAGAAAATCAAGACCGCATGGACAATCGGTGTGGTACCCCACATTAATAGGTGTTACTGGGATGCTCCCACGATGCAGACAGCAAACAATTGGTTGGTTGGTTTTCTTCCTGATCCTCCAGATTCCTCATTCCCACTGATTTCAGTTTGCTTCCAGAATAAGCTGTAAATTCTATCATCTTACAAAATAGACTGAGAATTATAGCTGGTCGAAAGATTTCTAACGAAGTCCTAGTTTTTTGCATTTTTGCTTTATCAAAAATGTGTTGGGTAAAGATTTTTGTCATTTCGTGCTTAAATTTTAAAAAGTATGGTTCTCTTACAGAAAACCCCGAAATCTCCAGAAAAATTACAAAACTAAAATATACTTCTCATTCCATTTATGGATCACGCCGTTACAAAATTTTTCATTTTTCGTTATCATCATATTCAATAATTTTAGTATTTCGGCCACCATTAAATTTTTTAAATGCTATTGTTTGCAGTAGTAGTATACCATTAGCGTTTTCCATTTTCGAGCCCATAAATGGACTTGAACCGGATTTTTTCACCTTCCTATTCTGCAAAATTGCCTATTTTTTGCGGTATTATTAGTTAAATTTAGGCCACCACACGCACAAATGGACATGGGCCGCTAGACTGGAAAAAACTAGTTGTAAATTTTTATAACCAAACTATCAATTAGATTCTCTGCTCGCTTTTTATTCCATTCCCTTTACTGGCAAGAGAAATGGGAATTTTGAAGGCGGGAAGGCGGGTTATTCCGAATCAAGTTAATACATGGGGCGGATTTATAAAAAAAATTAAAGAAAAGAACAGCATTTTTTAAAACTCTTTCTCCTCCCAAGGTCTTCAAGCAAATTCTGGAGAAAGAGTAATGATTGCTGCTGACGAAACTGCTATTATTAGAGCTGTTTTTGAATTTTTCGTCACATAATGGATTGTGAAGGTTTTGATTTTTGGCGCGGAACTTATACGCCAACTTCTAAGTGAGGCAAACCATAGCTTCAACATGTTATCACAGTAAGTATAAGCTACTGTAGAATCGTGAGAAATAACAACAAAACTAGTCATGCGGAGATCCTGTAAATGAGGTGTTTGTCCAAGCAGACAGTCCAAAAATGAAGATTTGCCTGTTTGTCCAAGCAGATAGCTCGCAAATGAGTTAAGATCTGAGGGCAACACTAGTTATCATTCAGATGGTTTGCAAGTATGGTAACTTTAGGATAATGTTTCTTAAAATACACAAAGACTGGAGACGAGGTAACATCTGAGGTAATAGTTTTCTTAATGCTGACTGTTTGATGTCTTCGTTATATGTTCCACCACCATTGGTATTATGCAAAGCACGCATGTATGATCCAGTTTTAACCACTTCATAACGCAACGTTGACATTTCTGTGGTCATCTCATATAAGATCCGCAATTTCTATAGGTATTGTTCTATCGAAACCGAAGAACTTGTTTTTGATGCGGAACTTATCACTAGCGCAGAATGGTGACGTAAAACAGCGCAGCAAATCGTATTATGAAGAAAAATTTTGAATAATACTCAGACGACATTTTTTGTCAGCGGTGGACTACGTCAGGAGGGTTGAAGGTCAACTGAGGTTAACCATTGCTATGCTTGTAGCTTTTGACGCAAGGTTTTGCTGTAAATTACACACCAAAGTACCAAGACTAGCCGGACATTTCGATGTGAAGGATCCCATGTTGAAGATGTTAAAAGAATGCAGTATAGTAATAGCTTGTAAGTGGTGCTTTTCCCATAGGCGGATCCAGAGCGATTTCCTGGGGAGAGGAAGGATTTAGGGGGCTTTCCCCTCCCTCCTCCCCTGTTCGTCACTACGTCGGAAACCGCATTCTGCCTCCCCTTTCCCCCTCCCCCCGTTTCCTTCCCTCTTCAATTGCCTTGCTACTTCTTTTTTCTCCTCCCTCTCCTCTACCTCGAGCCCATCGACCCTAGCGAAAACAACCGGGGGAGGGGGAGAAAAGAAAGTGAAATTCCAGGTGAGGGGAAGGGGAGAAGACAGGAGGGGTGTCGAAGAGAGTTTCCTTCACTTTTAGCACTGCTAACTGTGCCACTGGTTATAATCGCATCGGAGAGTCTGGTGCGTTCCAGCCTGGGTTGCTTATAAGCAAATTCAAAAACACATATTGTGACGACCCAGGTGTGTGTATGTAAGCACTGCTAACTGTGCCACTGGGGAGGG